TCCCTCCTCCCCTCCCCTCCTTGCTTCTCTTCTATAAGGCCCCCCGTCAAAGAACTCACATATGCTAGGTAGGCAAGAATTCTATTGTTGAGCTGCCTCTCCACGAGTCTCTTTTATAAGAGCACCAATCCGTTTATGAGGACTCTATCTTCATGATCCAATCATTTTCAGAGGTTCTATCTGTAATATCATTTGAGGTTAGGATTTCAGCCTATAAATTTTGAGGGAATGCAAAGTTTTAGCCCATTGTAACTGCTATCTGCCTCCAGAACTTTTTCATCTTCCGTAAATGAAACTCTAGCCATTCAACTCCACACCATTCCTCTGCATCTCCTGGAAGTTATTATTTCCTCTGTGAGATGCTGGGTTGTAGCAAGGGGTGGAAAGCAGTGGGGCCTGGGCAGGGAGCGCGGCAGCCTGTGGTCTAGGAGAAAGCACTGCGCCGTGCTGTGCTGGCCATGGGGTAGCAGGCCACTCCTGGGGTCCTGACAGATGCACACACAGAAGAGAAAGCCACAGCAGCTGCTCCGCATGTCTCAGTGTGGAGCCAGGTCTTCAGGTATCCTGGCTCCAGTAATTGCTGTGAGAGACTGTGTGACTGTTACAGATTTGTATGCAAAGAGCAAAAATTTCTTCCAGTATGCCCAGGAAACAGAGTTGTCTCCATTGTTTGTATTCACAGCAAGTGCAATGTTCTTCAGTGCCTCTGTAAAAAAATGTAATTTTTTTCAGTGCCTTCTGCACAGAAGAGAATATTGAATAAAGTATGTAATATCTTGATCAAGAATTGAAAACTAGGTTTTCCATAATTATAGGAAGAATGCCAAAGTAAAGAGACAGAATTAAATTAAATTAAATATAGTGGTTGTTTTAAGTTGTATGAACTACTTGTACTTCAGCTGAAGAACGTTCTAGCTCAGGAAAATGTGGAAACACAGAACCCTAAACTAGGAAGTGATACAGATCTACAGAACTTAAATGCAAAACCAAGGGAACAGCTGGCATCCTCTAGGAGAGAAATGCTGGGCTTCAGGAGACAGGCAGGCACAGTGCAAGAACTGGGGTTTACATGGGCTATTGGTGAATGAGAAAGACGAGGCACAAAACAATCACAGATGTCATGAGAATCCATTTTATCATTGCAAGGCTATTTTAAAGATAGCCGTGGGTGCTTAAAATTACGCGAGGAGAGCAGATAGAAAGTGAGACTCGTGGAAGACTGGTAAAATGAAAGCCACAAATGAAGATGAAATTAAAAAGTTCTCTTGAGGGACTATGAATATCACCAGAAGGAAATTCTAATGGAAAATACTGAACGAGGAAGGTCCTTCAGTCAATGAAAAGGGAAATGACTTCCCCTCTTACTTCCCAGAGAAAAGTGGATGGCGGTGCAGGAGTTGTCACCTCTGTCATTGAAGAAGATGCTGGGGAGTAGGGCAGATGTTGGTGGGGGATGGTTCCTATGAAACCACGAGAGGGCAGCTTATAAACAGCACCTGGAAACAGTAAAGAAGCTTGAAAAGAGATGTAGAAAAGCTCAATAGATTCATGTATGAAAAGTTCAAAGAATAAATAAAAAAGGAACAGAAAAACTTAGGAGATTTTAGTGACAACGATGTACTCTCAGAAGGCTTTGAACAAGAAACTGAGAATCTAGAGCAAGGAACTCAGCAATGTAAAGAGATGATTGAAGACCAGCAACAACTTTAAAAAAATACTTTATTATTTTATTTATTTTTAAAATTTTTGAGTTTTTGTACATTTCATACGATAGTTCTTAATCAAATTTAGACCCCCTCCCCCATCCATGCCCTCCCAACCCCCCACTGGACCTCTTGTAGTCTGCCATACATATTAAGTCCTATCCAGTCAAGTATTTGTACCCTGATGTCCTTCAGTGCAAATTCATCCACTGGAGTCTAGTCTGCCTATCTAGAGATCATAACTGAGGGACACTCTCCCTCACCCAGTAGTAATCAGTCTCCAGTAGTTCCCATTCTAGGGAACTCTGCCTGCCATTCATTTCTCTCGCTCCACTCTGGGTCCTAGTCTGACCGAGTTGACATGGGTCCTGCGCTCGATGTCACCATTGCCGCAAGTTCACATGTACATTCCAGTGGCCTGAAAGCCTCTGCTACCTTATGTTCATGAACCAATCCTGGCTCTTACAATCTTTCCGGCCCTCTTCTGCAATGGTCTCTGAGCCGTGGGTGGGTGACACACATTCTTCAGTTTCTTGTTCTTTAAAACTTGGTCAGTTGTGGCCTTCTGTGTGCATTGAACTCTGTTGTATAAGGAAGCTTCACTAGTGAGAGTTGAGGGATGCACTAGTTTTCTATCTAACCGCCCCCCCTCATTCTGCTATGTTCCATGAGACTTAGGTGTAGAGGTTCAACTGTAGATGTGTCACCGAGTACTGGGCATCTCTCAGATGTATATTCTCTGTGTCTCACCAATTGTGGGATTCTGCAGTAGCTTCCATCTGTTGTAAAAAGAAGCTTCCTTGATGACTGGTATATGATACGCTTGTCTGTAAATATAAGGATCCATATTTAGCACATAGTAAGAAATTTAATTTGTCTAGAGATATGACAGAGATGGAGTATTCCTCTCCAACTATGTGCATTTGGCTATGTTTACAGTGTCACCCATGAGTTCACTCCCATTGAAAGGGCTTCAAGTTCAATTAGATAGCTATTGATTGCTCCCCAGATAACAGTGCCACTACTGCACCAACTGAGGTAGTTTGCTGTGCCTGTTGTTATGGTTATTAGCTTTTAGGACTGGGTTGGACCATTATTTTTATTTTATGTGTACGAATGTTCTGCCTGCATGTATGTAGGTGAACCCATGATGTACAATGCCCATGGGGGTCTGAAGAGGGCATCAGATCCCCTGGAACCAGAGTTACAGTTGTTAGCCACCATCTGGGTGCTGGGAATTGAACCTAGGTCCTCTGCAAGAGCAGTCAGTGCTGTTACCTGCTGACCCATCTTTCTAGCCGCCATGGTGTATAATCCTTTAAAATTGTTGCTGAATTGAATTTTTTTGCATCAATATTTTAAAATATTTTATTATTTTTATTTTATATGTATGAGTGTTTTGCCTCCATGTGTATTAGTGCACCTGTATCGTGCAATGCCCATGGAGGTCAGAAGAGGGCATCAGATCCCCTGGAACTGGAGTTACACATGGTTGTTAGCTACCATGTGGATGCTGGGGATTGAATCCAGGCTTCTGCAAGAGAAGCCAGTGCCCTTAGCCATTGAGCCATCTCTCCAGCCCCATACATCAATATTTTTGCATCAATATTCCTCAAGGATCTTAGTTGGTAGTTATTTGTTTTGCAGTGTTTTCCTCTGGTTTGACAGTGCTGGCCATGTGGCATAGCATAGGAAGTTTATGTATGCCACTGGTGTTGATTCTTCTTTTGGTTTTTAGAGAAGCTAAGTGTAACTATGAAGCAGGAAGACTGAATTCAGGGCCATCCTGGGATACAGAGCACATTCAAGGTCAGCCTGGACTATGTAGGTAGTTCAAAAGAAAGGAAATTATAAAATTCACTGTGAAACCTCTGGCCCTGGGAGGTTTTTCTGGCCTTTTCTTGCTGGTAGGTTCTTGATTACTGATTCAGTGTCCTGAGTAGTTATGGAGTATTGGAAGTTTCTTTTCCTTCATGAGTTAGTATTGGCACATTATGTGTTTCTAGGAATTCGTGTATTTCATCTTGGTTATTCAATTTGTGTATAGTTGTTCAAACTCCTCTTTTTAAAAAATAGATTTTTATTTATTATTTGCAAATCTCATACATCTATACAATGAAGAAAACTGACTCTGCCTCACCCAGCAGCCATCAACTACTTATAGCTCCCAAGCTAGGGGTCAGGCATCATGAGCCCCTCCCCTCTCCATGTTGGAATGTTGACTGGCTTGATCTTGTATAGGTCTTGTTTAGGCAACCACAGTTGCTGTAAGTTCATGAGTGCATCAGCCCTGTCATGCCCAGGAGACACTGTTTCACAGCAGTCCTCCCCTTCCTTTGGCTCTTCCAGTCTTTCTGCCTTCTCGTCTGCTAGTTCCCTGAGCCTTGCGGGGAGGGATGTGATATAGATATTCTGTTTAAGGCTGAGCATACCACTGGCCTTTATTCTTTATTTAGGAAGCAGCCAAACTCTGCTTTTATAACTTTTATAAAATCAGCATTCATATCCTGTTTAGTTTCTGATTTTAGTTGAGTCTTCTATTTTCTTAGTTTTGTTAAAGATTTTCTATTTGTAGGTTTTTTCTCCCCAAATCAGCTCTTAGATTTAATTTTTCTTTTTTCTGATCTCTCTCTTAAAAAGAAACTGTTTTAACTTACATTATTCATTCCTTCTACAACCTTTGTTTCTTTTTTTGTGATTAAATTTGTTTTAACAATTTCATACATGTAACAGTACATTCTATTTACTCCTACCCCTACTCTCTAAAGTTCCCTTTCCCACATTCATATCTTTTTGTTCTGTTTTGTGACCCACTGGTTTTAGCCAGGACCATTTGTGTGATTGTGGGTTTAGAATTATCCACTGGAGCTTGGAGGCCTCACTGTTAGCACACAACTAAAGATAGTGACTGTCCCTTTCATAGAATCTACCAGTTGCCAATAGTTCATCAGGGTCGGGTAGGACCCCATGAGCCCCTCCCTGATCCATGATTGACTGTTGACAGGCCCAGTTTTGTGGAGGTCTAGTGCAGGTAACTGCAGCTGTTGTGAGATCCTATTTACAGTTTTTGTGCCCTAAAGACAGCATTTCAGAACCTCTCCTTGTCTTCCGGCTCTCCACCATGATGTTCCCTGAGACTTAGAGGGGGGTGATATAAACGTCCTCCTATTTAGGACTGAGCACTCACTTTTTAAGCACTTTGAGCAGCCTTGAGTCCCTGAATTCACTATGGTGTACATCACCACATCTGGCTGAAATTCTTATTCTTTTGTGTTTACCTTTTGTTTTAGAAAAAGTTTCATTGTAAACTACAATCATGTATGTGTGTATGTTTGTGTATATGTGTATGTTTTTGTTAGTGTACTGTGCTTATATGTGTGTTTGTGTGTATGTGTATGTTTGTGTGTGTGTGTGTGTATGTACTATATATTTACCTTTACTGGTGAACATTATATTTTATAAAGCTTCAAGTTACTAACATCCTCCAACTTGAGGAATTAATTGCAGAGCAAATGCAGTAGAATCAACTCTCTCAACTTTTTGTCTAAGAATGTCTTAATTCAGCTTTCATTTAAAAAATATTTTATGTATGTGTATGAGGGTATTGCCTGCATGTGTGAGTGCACCTATGTCATGCAGTGCCTGTGGAGGTCAGAAGAGGGTATCAGATTCCCCTGGAACTGAAATTATGGATGGTTGTTAGCCACCGTGTGGATGCTGGGACTCAAACCCTGGTCCTCTGCAAGAGCAGCCAGTGCTCTTAACTACTGAGCCATCTCTCCAGCTCCTTATCTTTCATTTTTGAAAGATTTTTTTTGTTAGGTATAGAGTTTCCAGTCAACACTTTTTTTTCTTTAAACACTTTGAATATATTATCCCATTGCCTACTGACCTTCAAAGTTTCTTCTGGGGTCTACTTGAAAATCTCACTGATGATCTTTTGTAAAGTGATAGGTCACTTTTCCCCTTCTACATTCATGCAGAGAATCTGGGATATATACGAGAGAGAGAGAGAGAGAGAGAGAGAGAGAGAGAGAGAGAGAGAGAATCCTCCACCCAAGCCCTGATTAATTTTAAATGTCTTAATTTCCATGAGTCCTCCTCCAGCTTCTTCTTAGATATTTGTTATATTCTTGCCCATAATCCCATTGCTCCCAGCAGTTACAGGTTTGTAGCCTTCTTCAGTTTTGACATGCTGCAGCATCGGCAACTGCCTTCTGCAGCTTCTAGCCCGAGGCACCAGCTGTGCTGCTATTTCCTGTCTGGGTCTCAAGTCGGATAAGACAGAAGCGTTCTCCTAGGAAGCCCACAGACAGGCCAGCCCATTGCAAACATGTTTCATTTTCACTTTCATCCTGGAGGAGGAAACTGGGAGTTTGGGGTGCTTTTCCCCAACCACATGATGCTATACTGAAGAGCACTGGGGCGGAATTTCCCATTATCACATGTAGCTGTTTCTTTTCTTTTATTATTATTATTATTATTATTATTATTATTAGTTTATTTATATTTTATGTGTATGAGTGTTTTGCTTGCATGTTAAGTGTACCATATGTGTGCAGTGCCTATGGAGGCCAGAAGAGGGTGATGGATCCCCTAGAACTGGAGTCATGGAGAGCTGTTAGCTACCATGTGCTGGGAACTGAACCCAGGTCCTCAAGAAATGCTCTTAACTGCTGACCCGTCTCTCCAGCCTCCATTTAGCTGTTTCTTGACTGGTGGTTACTTGTTTGTGTAGGTCTTTGGTTTCCAGAGCTCCTATAGTTAGTGTGTGCTTGTTTGTTTGATGTTTCCATGGGAGAACAAGGACCCAGTGTTCCTTGCTTTGCTGTCTTGATGATGTCACTCTCAATTACATGCTAAGCCCTTTAAGATTCTTATTTTCAATGTAATGTGTTGCTGGTAATTAGTGATGGGTGTGAATTTAGATAGTATGTTTCCCGTTACCCATTCAGCTTCTGGTTGTTTGTCTCCTCCCCAGTACAAACACGGAGGCCCCATCATTGCTGTGCAAGTGGAGAATGAGTATGGTTCCTATAACAAAGACCCTGCTTACATGCCTTACGTCAAGAAGGTAAGAGTCAGCAAACACATTTCCTCACATTCCTTCCTCTGAAATATATTACAGACTGTGACATGTTGGCCTAATACTTTTCTTAAGTTAATGTCATGTTTACAACAGTTTATTAATTAGTGAATTTTTCTCTGTGGTTTTTCAACAGTTGTCATTTATTTACCCTTTATTTATTGAGTTTACTCTAATGTTTGGAGTGTGCATATGGGTGTCTCAGGGGTTGAGAACAACAAAGGAAATGGTAACTGAATGGAGAGGATGAAGTCTTTGTGAAAGGTCTCCTACATCCTAGCATAAAGCCATAATTCTTAGTTATGGTTGTACACAGGCTTTATCTGGGAAAATTACAAAGATCTCTAAGACTAGCCACAGCCACACTAATTGTAAGGCTCTCTAGGATGGTGCTCAGGTATCTGATAGTAATGTGAGGGGGCAGTTGAGAACCAGATTTAACACATAGCATGTCAGAGAAGGGTGGTGTGGGTAACTAAGAGCAGGCTAATGTTCAGATCTGGTTTCTTTCACTTGGTAGTTGAGGCCTTGAACAAATGCCCCAGTGTCCCTAGGCTTCCTTTTTCTCTTCTACAAAGTGGGGCTAAAAAGAGCATCTGCATCTTTTGTATTATGTGAAATCATGTGGCCTAGTACTGTTCCAGGTATACAGTAAGCTGTCAATAAATGACTTTGGTGGAATCATTGGCATTCACTTCAGAGAACTCTGGAAGGTTGGCCATGGTGTGAGCTGAGGAAATGTGAAATGGCTTTGGCCAGATGGTCTGGACAACATCTCTTCTGCTGTCACCCCCAGCATCATTTTCCATCTAGAAATTACTTTGTTCCTAAAGAATAGACACAGAAACTCAAGTGCACCAGTTGCTAGTCTCTGACTTCCTGCCTCTTCCTTCTGACCTGAGGATAGCTCTTAGTAGGGTCCAGGCTGTCCAGGAAGGGTGGCATTCTTCAAGCTGGGAAGTGGCATGTTTAGTCCTATGGTTAATCTTGCCACAGCCTGGACAGAGCTTCCTTGTCATCTTCAGGTTACCTAGAAAATCCTGTCCTGGACATAGAGTCTAGAACTCTCACTACAGTCTTCCCTCAGACTCTCTGGGGCCCTGGGGCTACAGAGGACAGCTTTGAGGAGCAGAAGCAGGAGTAGCTCCTTAGGGGACCTGGTCTGTACAGCCATGCTTCCCCTATGCCCAGTGCTCAGTCTGTCTTCCCAAGGCTCTTGGGAGAACCCTCTCCTGAGCTGCTGTGCAACTTCTCCTGGGACTGTTGCCAAGATGTGTGTGCATCATACTGGCATTGAATGACCTTGGGCATGACCCCTTACCTTTCAAAGACTTAACTCTCATGTGCAAAATGGAGACAAGAATGCCTTTTACTAAGGCTGCTGTGAGAGGGTATGAACCTTAGCTATGCATGGTGAGTGGCTGGTCCTTAGGAAATAGTAACTGTCCTTTACACAGTGGAGTCAACAATTTAATTCCTGTAAAAATTTAAGTGTATATGGTGGGATCCTAGGTAAATGTCACTTACTTAGTTCTGAGTGACTAGTTGGAGGGGATTGATCCAGGGCATTTAGAGAAAAAAAAGATTTTATTTTTAATTATGTGTATGCTGTTTGTATGTGCACATGTGTACAGGTGCCCATGGAGGCCAGAAGCAGGCATCAGGTTCTCTGCAGCTGGAGTTACAGATGGCTGTGAGCTGCCTGCTGTGGGTGCTGGAAACTGAATCCATGTCCTCTGCAAGAGCAGCAAGTGCTCTTAATCACTGAATCATCCCTCCAGCCCTGACCCAGGGTTTTTAATAGCTAATCTCACTTGTCTTCTTCATGGATTAAATGCTCCAGCTTCTGTCATCCCAGAGAGTTAGAACTCCTTCTGTGCTGTCCTTTACCAGCATATGGGATGGGGCATTAATTTTATAACGTCACTTTCTTATTTCCAAAAGAGTTCAGTTGAAATAAATTGTCTTGTTATTGAGTCCAAAGCCCCAGAGTAGAACTTATGTAGGTGGATATATTCTGGGTTCAGCCCCACCTCCCTCATCATCCCTGTAACTCATCTTACCTCACTCAGCCTCTTTGCTATGCCCTTCAGCTATTAGTTATGGAGTGTATGAGATGTCTGCAAAGTGCTTGGCACCACGGTTAATGCTCTAGTTGTTAGCAGTTATTCTGAGTGGTGACAGTCCTATCGCCCCTCAAGCAGTGGTTTTCTTCTACCTGGTGTCTAGATTTACCCCTTCCCAGGAGTGCCTTCAGTGTTACTGGGCATGGGCAGTATACCATGGACATACCACTGGGGTATGTCTGGGCTGTCATGGCCATTGACTAAGCCTACACTGGCTCAGAGAGCAGAAGAGAGGCTGTATGTACATGGTGTGGGTGAAGAGGAAAGTGTGGGTGTTGTCTTGGCCACCTGACCAGGAGCCCCAGGAGCCCAGCATATATAGTTGCCAGGTAACAGCATGGCAGCTGGCCTCCTGAGCTGGCATCTGAGGCGTGTGTGAATCAACAAACTGTTTAGACCTTCCAGAGCAACCATGGCCTGCCAGAGCTCGACAGCCTTGCCTCTGCCACATTTGGAAACCAAGCTTACTGGAGCTCTGTTGAATGCTGTGGGCCTAGCCAACATGCAGAGAAGCACTTTGTTTAGATTTCTGTCTCTTGCTCTGCAACTACCTCAGCCTTCACAGTATGACCCTGCAGGAGCCTTGAACAAGGCAGACTTTAACTTGTCTTTTATCCCTCAAACAGGCCTTGGAGGATCGAGGGATCATAGAGCTGCTCCTGACTTCAGACAACAAAGATGGCCTGCAAAAGGGAGTGGTCCAAGGAGGTACCTGAAGGAGGCTGCCTGGTTGGCCTTTCTGTGCACCCCCCAGAGTCATAGTCTGAGATACAAACAGGAGTTTACCTGGTGCCTGTATTCATCACGTGTGGCTGGGCGTTCTGGGCAGCAGGGACCTTTTTTCTCTTCTTTTTAGCAAATGTCTCACCAAAGATCTTCCAGACACCCAAATGCCTGGCCAGCTGTTTCTGGTCCTTGCTCCTGCAGAGCCCATAGGGCACTCACAGCACTGCAGATGGCTGTTCCTATTAGGACATATCTTTTTATCAGAAAAGTGCAGCTCAGTTTTCTCTCAATTGCACACCTCCAAACCTTGCAGTCATTCTCAGCCTGCTCCTGCCTGACACACCAGCACATCCTTTCTATCTTCACGTTTCTCTTCAAAGTACACCTGGAACTCAAATAAGCTTCACCCCTCAACTGTTGTCACCTGTTTTTCACCTGCGTTGCTTAGTATCATTTTCACTGACCTCTATTTCTTCACTGATCCCTTCAACAACCTTTTCTCAACATAGCAATCTTTGCACACCTTTGAAGATGAACCCCAGGAGCCAGGTGTGGTGACACATGCCTACAACCCTAGTGCTTGGGAGGCGAAGGCAGGAGGATGATGAGTTTGAGGCCAGAGTGGGCTACATAATAAGTTCCAGGCCAGGCAAAACTGCCGTAGCAAAACTTTCTTCAAAAACTGAACAAACAACCCAGAGAATCTTGCTTGCATGCTTGAGCTCCAGGTGCTCCAGAGAAAAGAGGGAAGTGCATACTCGGAAAATGACTCGCACCCCTTTACAAGAATCGCATACTCTTCCAGCTCCATTTTGCCGTTGAACCTTTGGAGCAACTTATTTAACTTCTCTGTGTCGGTAGCAGCTGTGAGGGCTCATGTGCGCTGTGCCTAGACGTGCTCATATGCGGTCCACGCAGCAGAAGGTTGAAACGCGCTCTTCTGTCGCAGTGGGGCTCTTTCTGTGAGCTCTTGCGCCGGGTTCCCTGTGCCATAGTATCTCCTCTGCTCTGTTTTGTTTCTTTTGTATTTCCTTCTGTAGACTGACCCGCTTGTGGATGAATTTAGCTCAGTATCCCTCTCACAGTATCTGTGTGGTTGGGGGAATGGAGAGGAAAGGCCTTTTTTTACAGCAGAGTGATAAGGAGCTGGGATAAGGGTGTGATTAAGGAACTGTAGTGATTCCTTTTATTTCCACCAGGTGGCAATATCTCCCCATGCTTGCTACCAAGGCCTATGGCTGGGGTCACAGGCCTGGGACAGTCCCTAAGGGCTTTGGAAGGTGCTCTTTCCATTCCTCCCTTGAAGGCTCCACCCCTTAGGCCCCTGGCGGCCACCTATCACCTGGAATATTTAATTTTTTTTTTTTTTTTGTCATTTTGAAACAGAGTCTCCCTATAGCCCTAGCTGACCTGGAATTTGCTATGTAGACCAGCATGGCCTTGATCTTACAGAAATCTGCCTGCCTTTGCCTCCTGAGTCCTGGGATTGAAGGTGTGTGCCATTAAGCCTGGTGTGTGGTATGTTTTCTTTCATTTAAAAAATGGACCCCAAAGTAAAATAATAGAAAATGCTTACAAAGAAATTTGCCAATGCCTTCCTCCTCATCCCAGCTCCAGAAATGGCCATTTTGAATTGTAACTTTCTTCTGGTACTTGCTTTCCCTGTTTCTATATGCCCTGTATATAGAACTCTACATTTATTGATTTAGGATTCTAAAGCTGAACTTTTGTTTCAGTGGATGGTTGGGTTTCCTTGGTCTCCCGTTCCTTCCCTTTCTTGCTGGGTACCTTGGCATTCAGTGCCCATATGCATTTATCCTGGCTGTAGTTCTTTGGGACAGGGCTGTGGTGCACTGCAGTGTGAGAATCAGGTGGTCTGCCAGAGTGCTTAGTTCTCCTCTTTAGTGGAATTACTAGCCCATTTGCTTTTCTTTTAATTTCAGACCCCCCTTCCTGCCTCCCTCCCTCTTTCCTCCTTCCTTCCTCCCTTCCTCTTTCTTTTTCTTGCTTTTAGTTCAGGCTGGCCTCAAACTCATGATTCCACTGTTTGTCTCATCCTTCTGACTGCTGGGATTGTGGAATTAAAGGCATATGTCACCCCAGCCCCCTCTCTTTAGCAAATGCTTTAACAAAGATATTCAAAACTCCCATCACTGTCTTAATGTCTGTGCCCCTGAAATTCCCTCCTTTGTTATTAAGCATTTTTTTTTTTTGAGACAGGGTCTCCCTATGTAGCCCCAACTGGCCTGAAACTCGCTTTGTAGATTGGGCTGGCTTTGATCTCACAGAGATCTGCCTGCCTCTGCCTCTGCCTCTGCCTCGAATGCTGGGATTAAAGGTATGTGCCAGCACCCCCAACTTGTTAATAAGCATTTTGTTTGTTCCTTTTGTTGATTCTGCTTGCTCTGACTTCCTGTTATCCATTCTGCCCAGTCTTTGAGGTGAGGTGACAGTCATTTCTTTGGCTCTTATTAGGCAGCTTTCCCTAGTGGATGAACTTGCACTGAGGGATGCCAGGGTATACCAACTTGACTGGATAGACCTTAACATAAATGATGAAATGCATGAAATCCAGTGGAGGTGCTATGTGAGGGTGCTGATGGGGATGGGGTAAGATGATTAAGATGTTGTGTATGAAATACACAAAAAGTCAATAAAATATTTATAAAAAAGAACAAGCACTAAACAGCCACTTAGAGCTGTAGGGCTGGGGAGAAGAGGTGAACAAGACCTTTCCTTGTGGGCTGATGGGGCCATGGGGACTGATAATGGCAGGCAACTCATGTCAGTATTTGGAGATACTGTTTTTAACTCTGACAGAAGAAGCCTTTGGCTCCTTGCTGCAGACATTTGGGAAGAGATGTACAGAATGGGCAGGAATGCCCTTGCTCAGGAATCCCCTGCCATACTCTCTTCCACTCTCACCTTATACTCCTGGGGAATAGTTTTCTAAGGGCATTTGGACTCCGTTGAAAAGACAGGCACTGGTGCAAAGGAGGCTTGAGGACAGGGATGGGAGACCCAGGGATGGATGGGGAGACCTTCCTGGAGCTCAGGATCTGGTAGAAACTAATCTGCCCTCCCTCGTAGGCCAGCTGGTATCCCACCATGGTTTTTACCTTCCCAGGATTTCCTTGATATGTTGCCTTTGCTAATTTCTCTTCTGAATTCTTATTCCTTGTGATCATTGTCTATCCCTTTTCTTGAATTTGATGAGTTGTTAGGATGACAGAACCCAGTTGTTTGTGTTCAGACAGCTATATGCATCCTGTTGATGTTTGAAGTTTCTGCCTGGTTAGTTTCAAATAGGATTCCTGAAGGGAGTTGCTAACTGTAGATAGGGAGGGATCTGGATGCAGGGTCTTCCCCTATGGGTTGCTAAAGGACAGTGACATCACATGACAATGGGTTGGTGTCAGTGGGACCTGAGTTTGCAGCCCTACTCTGCTTCTCACTGACTGTGGACCCTGAAGTAGGTGTCTGTACCTCCAGATCTCTTGCTTTGGTTTTTCTTCACTGGTCATCAGGGGCTGATGCCCTGGAGGGTGCTGGGCTGGCCAGGCTACCTCGGTCACTCTTGAGCACATTCATGAAAAACTGACTATTAAAATGGACAGTAAGCAGGCAAGGGTCTTTACAGTCAAGATCTATGGTTAGCTGAAGTTTTGGTAGGGCCATGGCCAACAGCCAGCCATGGTATCTTTCTTTAAAAATTTTAAAATGCATTTATTTTTATCTTATGTGTATGAGTGTTTTGCTTGCATGTATGTAAGTGTACCCATGCATGCAGTGCCCATGGAGGCCAGAAGAGGGCAATGGATCTGCTGGTACTGTAATTCCAGATCGTTTGTAGCCACTATGTGGGTGCTGGAAACTGAACCTCGGTCCTCTGCAAGAGCAGCCAGTTCTCTTAAATGCTAAGCTATTTCTTTGGCCTCTGTAGCATCTTTCTTAAGCATGCATGTCACTTATGGAAATCTCTATAAAATGCTGGTTAAATTTTTAAAGTGAACTTATTGTAGACAATGAGTCCTCATAAAAAAATGAGTCTTCATTGGGATCATTGCCCTTGGGGATACAAAGACATTACCATTACATGTAGAGTACAATGTAGAAACCAGAGTCTGGTAGTTCAGTAGTTCAGAGAAGGGCATATTCTGGCTATAAAAATAACAATCAAAAACAGATACCGAGTGTGTATAGCGTTGCATTGAGTGGTAGAGTTTCTAAGACTAACAAGATAGATAAGTTTTTTGGCATCAGAGAAGCTGACTTCTAACTGGACGTGGGAAAAAAATGTCTAGACCAGTTAATTTTTGTGTGTGCTGATAGATTGAAGCTCTGGGGTAATTCGGAAATTGAAAAAACTTAAGACAATGCTTTTCTTTTTCCTTCTCCTCTGCCTTCCCAGTGCTGGCCACCATCAACTTACAGTCACAGCAGGAGCTGAAGTTATTAAGCAACTTTCTCTTAAGTGTGCAGGTAGGTCTGGCCCAGGGGATGCTGTGGGTCTTTCAGTGTGAGTGCAGGGATTCCACATGACTGCACTGTGCTCAGGGTTCCCTGGTGATGGAGGAGGTTTAGTTCTAGCCTTTTAGCTCATACCACATTCCCTCATGGCTGTGAAGGAAGCAGCTTAGATGCTACTCTGAAGTTTTGCTGTTTAGACTGATGCAACCCAAGTATGACTTGAGAAAGGGATCCTTCTGAAGCTCTTGACTTGTATGGACTCCACAAGCCCCAGACATGCTCTGAGAGATTGAAGGAGGAGAAATTTCTGTGTCCTGTTCCATAGATGTACCTGACCTCAATCTTTAAGATCACGTTGGTTCCAGAAAGGTTTTTGTTATCCACAAGACAGGCGGCTTGGTGCGTTTCATGTCAGGAAAAGAAAGAAGTTTCTGGATGTATTTCACCTTCATCAGATTGATGGGCACATGTAGTCCTGTTACAATTTCTCTCTCCAGTCTGTGTTTCTCTCTTAAAGAGACAGATGTGATCGGGTCCAAGTTATGTGCAGAATTAAGAGCCCATCTCAGCCTGGTTTACTGGAAGGCATGAACGCTCTCAGATTTTTGTGACCCATTGCATATTCACCTTGGTTTTCAAGCCTAGAGTGGAGATGATGGAATGTTTGTATCAACACTAAACAGATGCTTGTGGGAATGCTGGGCCAATAGTGTGGATAAACTTGTGATTCACTGAGTAGAACAATGTACTATTCCAGCTGTTGGGTTTTCAGTGTAGTGGTGATGTCCTCAGATACTCTCATATAAAGTCACCATGAAAGATAGGACCCTGTAGGGTGAGGGCCATTGTTGTGTGTGGTGTGCTTCTTCTGCAGTGTACATGGTGGCCAGAATGGGTGGAAAGGTACCTAGGAGCAGATGACACAAGCCTGATCTCTGACAGACTTTCTTTGGGAGGGATAATCCATATATCTGGTGGCTCAGGTGGGACCTTTTCTTCTCACCTTTCCCTGTGTGTCCTGGGTGTCTGCTCTATCTGTAGGGGTGCTTGGCTTTTCTTACTTCCTAACAGATCACAAGCCCTCTGTAGTTTGTGACCTACTTGGGAAGACACATATGAGATACATAATAGCTGAGCAGGATTGCAGTTGAGAGCTGCCAAGGCAAGTGTAGATGCTGGGAGTTGCCTGGCACCTGCTTGGCCACTCTAGGGTGCAACCTTAGACAAGCTGCTTGGCCCCTTGGTGCTTTTCTTTTTCCATTAGTTGTGTGGGGATAGTCAGAGCCCCAAGTTGAATGAGGTCATATTTGGAAAGCACCTCACAGTGCTGGTGATAGAAGGAGTGTTTGCTGTTGGTCCCTAGACAACTTGCTATATCAGTACTCATGGGCTGGCTGTCCTATCAGGAGAATGGCCTTGCTGAAGTGCTTTCTTGTATAGTCCATGATGTCTGCCCTTGATTAAGAAAGGAGTCTTGTCCACATCAAGGGCTTTAGACCTGGCACGGGTTAACTTTGGGGTATCCATTTGTCCCTACATAGGTGCCTGGTGATGGAGGTAGTTAATGTATTTCTTCAGTACTTCCTGTATTCCAGAGTTTTATGTACACCATCCAATTCAGTTCTTCTAGTCATTGTAGGTGCTAGCTACTGTTTCTGCTATCTGTGGTAAAGGAGATAAGAGAAAAATGCCCAGAAAATGGTCAATTTGGGGCTTCACTAGAGTCTCACACAGAGCACTGGTTTTTTACCACATTCTGCAGTGAGGTTCCCTGGGTCAAGATGAACCCTCAAAACACTCACTGCTGACTCTGGAGGAGATTTGGGACTTAGAATCTGTTTCTCCCTTTTGAGTAACTTGGATGTGTGTATCGTTTGTCCTTTCATAGGGGGTAGTTTGTAAAGAAAACCAAGCCTCCAGCTCGCTAAAAATAATCTTGTGGCTATGCTGGTTTTAACTAAGGGATAAGTGATACCTTGCTTTGGATTAGATTTTGATGCTTTATATGCAGTTCCAAGTGCCAAGCCAGCCCTGAGGGAGGACACTAAATCAGCTGTCACTGAATGATTGAGGAATACTTTCTGGCTTAGAGCCTAAAATCCTAGCCAATCTGTTTTTACCCCTGCCCCAGGTGTTCCTAGCTTCAGCAAACATGGCAGAGCCAAGCATGGTCCAGGAATGATGTCTGCATTACTTAGAGCAATCAGATGTCAGGGTTCTCAAGTAATAATTAAGACTTGTTCAATATCCCATTCAAGGTATGAATCCAGATTGCACCTGTGAATAGCTGAAAGGCTCTGATTTCCTGGTCTAGTTTTGTAAACTGGTGTTTAAGGTAGAACTCAAAGAAGGCTCACTCTGTGGCCTTCTGACTTCTAGATGTAGGGAAGCAGTAACTCTGAGGAGTCTACATCCGTGTATCTTCTCAGATGTGTACTTATCCAGGATAGGACATTCTCCTTCCTTAGTAGGGGATAGGCAAAGGTTGCCTTGAGCCAGAATGCAACCCAACCAATGTAGGGAAGGGCTTTCAAAGCAAGTGACAAATTCTGATGAGTGCTTAGTTTGAGCAGATACCTTCATCTTCTTGCTAACGTCCACCACATATACCATCAAAACCACATTAAGCATCAACTCTGGTAGGGTCTTCTATGCTCTACCAGCAAGTGGGAAGACACACATGGTAGGTAAACCATCTTCCCTCTGTGCTCAGTGCCTATGAGCCTCTCAGGCACAGGATAGATGGCTAGGGAGGACAGAGGTACTGGGGTCCCTTCCAAAAAGAGTACCCCTCTTTCTCTTTTGGCCAGCCTGCCTACCTAATTTTTGTTTTGTGGTATCCAGGGGGTTCAGCCCAAGATGGTGATGGAGTACTGGACAGGGTGGTTTGACTCATGGGGTGGCCCCCACAATATCTTGGATTCCTCTGGTGAGTGATTTACTTTGTCTGAATCTTATATGTATGTTGATGCTCAATACAAGCTTCACATTCCCTGGAATTGTATGGAATTGTAGGGTGCTAGGTTCCTAGGACCATTTTTTGTTGCTAGTCAGCTCTTGATAGCTCAGAGCCTTGGCATTTGAAATAGCAGTAGGATTTTCAACATTGTTTTTTTTTTTTTAATTTATTTTATGTGTATGAGTGTATTGCCTGCATGTATATGAGTGCACCCGTGCCGTGCAGTGCCCGCGGAGGTCAGGGGAAGGCGTCGGAAACCCTAGAATCCCCTTACGGACAGTAGTTAGTTGCCATGTGGATGTTGGAAAGTGTATTGCCTGCATGTGTATAAGTGTACCCATATTGTGCAATGCCCACAGAAGTCAGAAGAAGCTGTTGGATCCTTTGGAACTGGAGTTATGGATGGTTGTTAGATGTCATGTGGGTACTGGGAACTGAACCCAGGTCTTCTGCAAGAGTAGCCAGTACTCTTAATTGCTGAGCCATCTCTCCAGCTCCTCAGCATTGTTTTTGTAATTAGAAAAATAATGCTTATTGAAACTATCTAGAAAATATAGGAAAGTTTAAAAAAGAAATAAAAGTCCCTGAGTCCAGATCAAGCATTTTGATACTTATACACTGTGGGCAGCTCTATCCATGGACCAATATGCACATATAGGTAGAACTAAAGATGAATTTGGTGTATATATGTATATAATCATTCTACACTACTGGACATTTGAATGCTTGAAACAATCAGATATTACTGTCTTAAAGAAATTGATGAATCCCATTGTATTGATGACCAGACCACCATTTAGTGACCTGATTTCTTACTGATGAATACTTAGACTGTCTCCAGTTGCTCTGGTTAATTGAACACCATTCCAGGAAGCATCTTCAACATCCAGTTTTACACACGGGATGCTAAAGAGGAAATTACTACATCAACACAATTTTTGTTGTTTTTTTGATACAAGGTCTTCCTGTAGTTCCAACTGACCTGGAGCTCACTATGTAGACCACACTGATCTAGATTGCACAGAGATTCACCTGCCTCTGCCTCCCGAGTGCTGGGATTAAAGGCATATACCACATGACTGGCTCAATGCAATTTTAGTATATTTAATTTACTGCTGTCCTCCAGGAAGACTCAAGCAGCTTACTGCCCATCATTAAATGAGAATACTCATTTATTTTGCAGATTCAAAAAATTCACCAGGTCAATGTTGAGTTTGTTTTTGTATGATATACCACTAATATATATATATATATTTATTGACCTTTTATTTGGGCCTCTGATAGCTTCTTTTATCACTGATTAATTTTTAGTCAGGGGAGGACTCGGGGAGTCAGATGGAACAGATGTGTAATGAAATCCCATCTTTTTTTGCATTTCCTTAGGAGAAAGTAGCCAGCTGGTGAGAGGTTGGAAATAGCCTACTGGCCCCAGCTGCAGGTTCTCCAGTGAAAGCCAAAGGATTAAGTGACAAAGGAGACATGGTGGGGGTGGATGGGAACATAAAGGAACTAAAAGACTCAACAAGGATTTGCCGAAGGCTCTAACCATTCTAAAAATACCTCCTTTTTCCTCCCCTTGAAGAGGTTTTGGAAACAGTATCTGCCATCATCAAAGCCGGCTCCTCCATCAACTTGTACATGTTTCATGGAGGCACAAATTTTGGCTTCATAAATGGAGCCATGCATTTTCATGAATACAACGCTGATGTGACTAGCTATGGCAAGTATCACCAATACTGGTTCTCTCTTCTCCTTCCCAGTATTTGTAGGGCTGGGACATTTGTTGAAGAGTTCTTTTGAGACAACTTGGGCTCCTTTAACATCTTTGGTTATGCAGTGTCTGGTGAAGGTAGAGACTTTTTCTACCTGTCACCTCTAAACTTCCAGAGCAGTAGGTACCTTGTGAGCAAGTTTCTCTCTTGAGAGAGCTCTTTGGAGGAACAGAACTAGAATGAGGAAGGGGATGCAAACTTAGGGTGATAGGGATAGAGTAGCCTTTACCCAATTCAGAGCCTTGGAAAGGTAACCTTGATGCCACTTCTGAGAGTCCACAAAGAGTAGAAAAGATACCTCATTTTATCTACTTGTAGTTAAAAATTTGAGGCATGCTGTGATCATGGGAAGTTTTTATAGTATTTTGTCATATTTAGTGCCTACAGTATTTTGACTGAATGGCTCATATTAAAGATATTTACTTTCAAAATAGCTGATTTGAGGATCCTGCTGTCTGGCCCCAGCCCCTCTTCCTCCTCCTCCTCCTCCTCCTCCTCCTCATCCTCCTCCTCCTCCTCTTTTCCTCTATGCACTATTCTGAGGACAGGAAAGACGATGAAAAGTTTGTGGTTGTCTTGCAGACTATGATGCTGTGTTGACAGAAGCTGGAGATTACACTGCCAAGTACACCAAGCTTCGAGACTTCTTTGGCTCCATCTCAGGTACCAACAGACATCAGACTCAAGCATCCACTTGGGCCCTTGCTTTTCCTAGGATCCCTTGAACTTAGTGCTGTCTCACTCTCCCACCTCAGTTTTAGCTGCTGTTTGTGCAAGAATGTCCTAGACTACTGGGATTATAGCTCAGTAGTAAAGCCCTTACCCAGCATGAACAGAACCCTGTGTTCTATCCTGGTCATTGCCAAGTAATAATAAACAACAGAATGTTCTAGACAAGGAAAGTTAGAGGGACTATTTTCATCATGTTGTACGTCTTGTATTTGACACATGCTAAGGCTGCTTATATCATATGGAGGACATGAGGAGACCCCATGCTTGCCCGGGCCTTGTGTCTTAGAGTGGTTTTAAGTACTGAGTAGGACTTGTGGTTGATATTGATGCAAGGATAAAGGAGCACATTGGGTTGTGGTTGGAGGCTGAGGAGGCAGTGATGACTGGGATGATAAAAGAGGGCATGGTTTTTGTTGCAGGTACCCCTCTGCCTCCTCCACCTGACCTTCTCCCCAAGATGTCCTATGAGCCAATGATGCCATCTTTCTACCTGTCTCTGTGGGATGCCCTAATATACCTTGATGATGTGAGTGCTGTAGGCAGGAGTGGCAGGGATAGTCACTGGGTGGGCAAGACCCAGGAACTTTATAGATGGTGTGCTGGGAAGAGCAAAGTCACTCTGTGGCTTTGTGGTTGTTTTTCCAACCAGAGAACTCAAAGCTAAGAGAACATGCTGGTGCTGGAGTGGGAAGTGGGAAAGAACAGAAGAACATGGCCATGACCCTCCTTCTTCCAGCCTCAGGGGTAGGGGTTTCTCTTCACTCTGAGATGATGCAGACATGATGGTGGCTTCAGGATTCTACTAGACTGTAGGGAGCTTGGGCTTGGTGACAGCTCCTTTTTCCAGTCATCCTCATCCCGTGACATTTAAAGTGATGAGAAAATGTAATAGAAAAAAAGAGGCATGCACACCCCTTGCATCTTGTCCCTAATGTACGTGGTCTCTGGTCAGGCCTCTTTGCCACCCCTCACCAGAGGACCTAGGGTTAGGAGTAGCCTGGCACCTGTGTTTTCCTGTGTCTTCTTATGCAGCCAATCAAGTCTGAGAAGCCCATTAATATGGAGAACTTGCCAGTAAATAATGGGAATGGACAGGCCTTTGGGTACATTCTGTATGAGACCACCATCTTCTCATCTGGCATCCTCAGTGGTCTTGTACGTGACCGGGGACAGGTAGGAGCATGTCTTCTGAACTCCCGCAACTTTGTGATGACCAGGCTCTGCAGACCTTACTGTCTGCCTTCAGAATCGGCTGTTGCCAGGGTGTAAAACTGGCCATCTCTGTCAGCTCTGCGGTCTTTCTCAGCTGTAATTGTGAGAGTTCACTGTCCTCCATGGACATGCCTCCATGTCCTCCACATCCCCCTCAGAGGTCTCCACAGTGATTCTTGCTTTTTGTCTGATAGAGGTGGTTCCTCTCACCTCCCTCCTATTGACCATAATTCTTTTCCTCTCGTTTTGGCAGGTATTTGTGAACACAGTGTCCATAGGATTCTTGGATTATAAAACAACGAAGATTACTATCCCCTTGACCCAGGTTTGTCATTCTAGGGAGCTGGATGATGGTTGGCCACAGCTGCTTCCATGGAAATATGGTAGGGGTCCTAGAAGATCAGGAATGCAGATAGATTTCTAAGCCAATCAGGTCTCTCATTCCCATCTTCAGAGCATAGGGAAGAACTAGGGATACAGAGAGACCCCCTACCCCCAGGTATAGCAGTGACTTCCCAGCTGGGTCATCAGGTGGTGATAATTGGTCACTGTGTTCCTGGCAGGGTTATACCACACTGAGGATCTTGGTGGAGAATTGTGGGCGTGTCAACTACGGGAATAATATTGATGATCAGCGTAAAGGTGGGTCCTAGTGCAGACCAGGAAAAGAGCTGTTACCACTTTTCCAAGACTTGTCTAATTGTTCTTCATAGAATACATCAACAGGTCCTGGAGCCCCATTGCAGGGAGGCTCACTGAAGGGAGATGGAGTCTTCTTTACCTACAAATAAGACCTTGTTAATGGGTCAGAGGGGTTTGATCACTTTCCCTTTAGAGCTTCATATTTGTATGGTCTATATGCCCTGGAGGAATCTCCATAAACCCTGAGCTAGCCTTGCAATATATCCTTAGTCTGAAATCTGCTTTGTCAGGAGTGGGCCTCTCTGCTTGTAGGGTAGTGGGTGAAGATGGAGGAATGGCTATCCTGGAATCCATCAACGGCTATAGAATCCCTGCCTTCCTGGGTCTCTACACTGAATTTCCTTTCTTCATCTCTCTCAGGAAAACTCATAAGTAATGCTTCTGGACTATGGAGGAAGAAGCCAGACATACAATGATCAAAATGTGTTTTGCTGTCATGCCCCTCTAGGAATATCTCTAGGGGATTTTTACCCCCCTGGCTTTCTGAATTTTATGTAATTTAGCTGTTCATTTCTTTTATCTGTTTACCTAAATGTGGGTGGTTTCAAGTAAGTTATAAAAAGAGAACTCAGTTAAAATAAACCCTGCTGTGATGAGGAAGTTAATGGCATTCCATTTCCTTCCCAGCTGTTTGCATTTGTGATGGAGGAAAACTATCTTCTCTCTTCCCTGGCCAGAGTATCAGCTGAAAGCCTTTGGTACCTGCCCAGAAAGTGACATGACCTCAGACAGTAGAGCTTCTTCTCCAGAAGAGCCTCAGAGTAGCTTCTAGCACCATCCAGGCCCACTATCCTAGACCTCAGAGTCTTCCTTGGGCTTCCTTCTCTCAACCTATCTTACCTCTTTTATTCTCATGGAGGTCACAAACACCTGCCAGTCTGCCCAGTCTTTGCTTCTCTAAGGTCTTTACCAGGTGTACTCTGACCATCTGTAGAATCTTGCCTACTGGGCCAGTCCAGTGTTTGTAATTCAGACCTTCACTCCAGAAATACATGTGCTCACACACTTGTCTCTGCCATGTAGGAACACTGGACCCATCACTCAGCCTATTCTCGTCTCCAGTCTCCCCATGTTCCAGCCCCACAGGTCAGAGGCTCTGTTATTCAATGTACCGCAGGGGCTGCTCTTTTACCCACTCAGATCTCTCCATCCCCAAGGTGCTGAGCAGGCATCCTTCAGGTGTGTAGTTGCTTAGTGCTGGACACTCAAGTAATGCTATCTGCTTGGCATTTAGATACCTTTAAAACTGTCTTTAATCCTAGGTTACATTGAGGGTTTCTGGCCAAGTGACCAGGTCTGTTAGTCTGAGCCCTTACTGATGCCCTCTGTAGTTGGGCCCTCTGTCACCTCCTGTCTATGTATGCTTCTCCTAGAAAGAATCCAGAGGCCAGATGTCTCATACTGTGACATCTCTGCTCTTTCACTACCCTTAGGTATATTGTGCTTCATGGCAAATCCAAGAGCCTGACAAACAACACTCTTGCCTGTTTGTTACCTTTAGCCTCTCCAGGGAGGCTTTAGTCCATGTGCAAAGTACCTTAGGTAGGATGTGCTTCAACTTTCCTGGAACGTCTACACATGGTCCTGACTGCAGCTGAGTCACCTTCCCCCTGACTTTGGGCTTGCTCATCTTTCTTTTAAACCTGCTTTTCCAGGTTTAATTGGAAATCTCTATCTGGATAATTCTCCTCTGAAAAACTTCAGAATCTACAGCCTGGATATGACAAAGCAATTCTTTCAGAGGTGGGTCCCTGCCAGTGCCAGTGTATGAACGCATAGATAACATGCAGCAAGAGCCAGGAGTGCCCTGGCCTCCCTGCCAGGAGCCTGCTGATGTGGAAACAGACCCAGAGGCCAAAGTGACCTGCCCAAGGTGAGGGGCAGGACTAGCACTGGAACCTGTTTCCAAATGAGGAAGGGCCCATCCTCCCATCTTGCTGCCGTTGTGAGCTGGTTACAAGGTGGGGAGAGGGAGCTTGGGGCCTTGGATAGGGAAGGGCCATGCCTTAGGAATTAGATGCAGGCCTTGAAGCTGATGTGACAATGGTCCTTCCCTCCCTTTCCTGCCTACATCCTATCCTTAGGTTCAACATAGACAAATGGAGCATCATCCCCCAAACACCTGCTGCCCCTGCTTTCTTCCTGGGTGGTTTGTCAGTTGGCCTCTACCCTTCTGACACATTTCTCAAGCTGGAGGTTTGTAGGACCCCTTTCCTTTCCAGTGTTCTCATCTTTCCTAGGGCTCTGAGCCAGAAGCCTCATGGGTGTGGCTTGGATGAAGCTTTCTGGAGCACCTAGACCCAGAGGCCTTCCTGTCTTTTTGTGTTTCCCCATTTGATAGGGTTCCCCTGAGGCAGGGGAATGGGCTCAAAGCAGAACCATCTGGTGGTATTTCTCAGTGTGTGGGTTCCTATGGCCAGTCTGAGGTTGGTTGCCCTGCCTGGAAGGCTCAGAGCTGTGGGGTGGGAGGCAGAACAGGCTTCTGTCACCTTACATGGGTGTTGAATGTTGCCTCACTTGGATCTCTCAGGAAATGAGTAGAAAATACATGGTATGTGTCTCATTATGTCTCTGTTTTCTGGTGTGTCTTCATCTTTGGTGCTCTTGTGGTTGAACAACACCTTCCCTATTCTGTTTGAAGGGCTGGGCAAAGGGGGTTGTATTCGTCAATGGTCAAAACCTTGGACGCTACTGGAACATAGGACCACAGGAAACTCTCTACCTTCCAGGTGTCTGGCTGGAAAAAGGACTCAACCAGGTGGGAATACTTCTAGCATTTTCCCTATTCCTGGAAACTCTTTTCATCTCTGCTTTCCCTGATGCCAGTTGCTTCCTGGGAGCCTTTGACTATGGAGGGGGAGAGGGCAGATGTTTCAGCCACCCCCTTCTTCCCTTTTCCTTGTGGTGATGAATTGTTACCCCTCCCCCTTTCCATCCTGGTTCCCATACCTGTCCTTCTAATCCTGCTTCCTCATAGCTCTCTCATCTAGATATATAGCAGATCTCACAGCCAAGCCCTTCTTTCCCACAGGTCATCATTTTTGAGGAGATACTGGCAGGCTCCACAGTACAGTCTACTGATAGCCCCTACCTGGGCAGGAATCATTACGTTAACTGAACAGCAGTCCAGCCATACCTGCTTCCCTCCCCTACAGGGCACCTCCATAAGTAGCAACCTCAGGGAGCTAAGGGCTACAGCCAGTCACCTGCCTCAGTCCAAAATCCTAAACATGGGGGGACCAAAGAGAGGGTGAGTGGCACTGGTTAGGGTCCCCTTATAACTAGGTGGCTTCTCTCCCAGCTGTGAGGATGGAGCCCTTTCTGTTTTCCTGATCTTCCTAGGGATGCTAGAGAGATGTCTCTGTGAGGGTGGAGTCTGTAGTCAGATTCCCTTCAGAGAAGGTGCTGAAGCTCAGTGGGGACGACCCTGCTTTGGAAGTCAAAGCGTACTGACACAGGTCAGCCCTTTGAGCATTTCTAGTGGGCCATAGCATATCCTGACAGCCTCTTTGTTTTCTTCAATTTGTGAGTTTGGCACAGAGGAGCATACAGAAAGGATGTCTCACCTGAGCCATCAACTTTATCTTTTCTTGACCACTCTCCTCCAGCCAGTTCTGGGATTCTAGGAGAAACTTTGAGAAACACACATTTTTCTCCTTTTTGTTTCTTCTTTCACTGTATCTGCTAAGATGAGAAACTGAATGCAAGAGAAGTGGGCATGCTCAGTTACTTCTCTTCCCAAGCGAAGAGAGCACTTGCTGTTTTACTCAGTGAGGAGGAGTGTCACTTGGGGGAGGAACAGCATCACCAGGGGAGGAGCTGGGTGGGGGTCTAAGAAGAAACCTTCCCATATCCAGGCTTTCAGGGAGGAAGGGCAGAAGGCCTGTGCAAGTACCTCCCAGTGGAATTGGGATAGCCACGAGGCCCACAGGTATAGCACAGGCCTACTCAGCAGACTCCCTCTTCCCTCTCCTTCCTGATCAGTAAGGAGAAGGAGGGGCAGCCTTCTACTATGCTGTACTAATGTCCAAATTGAAGGCTCGTCTAGAGATTAAGTGCAATGGTTTGACTTGGTTTTGCCATCCTGATTTGCAATAAAGCAATAGACTTGAATCAAACCTTTGTGTATGTTTGTCCAGTTTTCAGTGTCACTCTAAGCCATAGGGAAAAGACGACCCTTTTGGATCTGGAGGATCTAAAGACTGATGTTACCTAGTTGATGGATGGTTTTTGAAAGCTCTGGCTTTTAAAAAATATTTTATTATTGTTTTTATTATTTTATGTATATGAGTGTATTTCCTGCATGTGTGTAAGTGTACCCTTGTCATACTTTGCCCATGGAGGTCAGAAGAGGGTGTCAGATCTCTGGAACTGGAGTTATGGATGGTTGTACTGGGAACAACCATGTGGGTACTGGGAACTGAATCTGGGTCCACTGCAAGAGCAGTCAGTTCTCTTAACCACTGAACCATCTATCTAGCCCCTCCTGACCTCAATTGTCCTTGAAATGTCAGTGTATTTGAGTGTCCCTGAAGAGGAGAGGTCAAACACAAGTCCAATCTCATGCTGGTAGATAAGACTCTTTCAGAAAGCCAAAAGTACCACATATAAGTTAGCTATAGGGAACAGTTTTTGTTCATAAATATATCTGGCATGTACTTCCACAAATGAATTATTTTCAGTAACAATGAAAGCCAATGAGCATATACCTCTGAGCACAGTGCCCACATAGAAACCCAGTGAAGATGGGTTGGAGAAGAGTGGGCTGGGCTGAAGAGCTCACAGCACACAGGATGTCTCTCCGTGTGTGGCTGAGGGCAGGGTTTATACTGGAGTCAGGGTGCTGCTGGTATGCATTCACTGAGCCAAGAGCCCAGCTGGCTTGTGATGGTCATAAGGCCTGGGCTCATGTCCCACTTGGGGCAGACAAATGGAGCTCTCTCTCTCTCTCTCTCTCTCTCTCTCTCTCTCTCTCTCTCTCTTTCTCTCTCATTTTTTTAGACAGGGTCTTGTTCTATAGCCCAAGCCGGCTTGAATTTTCAGTCCTACCTTAGCCTCCCAAGTGCGGAGAATTACAGGTTTGTACCATCATGCCCAAATTAAGGAAGCACATGGTCAGAGGACAACCTGTGAAAGTTGGTTCTCTCCCTCTGTGTGGGTCCTGAGGATTAAACTCAGGCTTGGCATCAAGTGCTTTTACACACCAAGACATCTTGCCAGTCTTCAAAGGAAGCTTGTTAAAGTGAAGGTTGTGAACAGTGGCTGGAGTGTAAACAAAATTCCCAATTTTGTCCAGTTTTGACAGCTCCTTCTGAGCTGTCTTGGAGTGGCATTGAGCTAAGGATGTAGATGAGTCCAGGGCTACTTGAATAGGGTTGGAGCCAGAGAGCAGTGTTGCAATGTCACATTGTTTTGTATTACATTAAGTGTGGGCTTCTGCAAAGCTGTGTTAAGCTGGGCTGTTGGAAAACATGACCAACAATTGGAATGTAAGGAAATCATACATTGAATCATTTTGTAAAAAAGTGAAGAATCATCTGAATTACAGTTTAATGCAAACATGATCAGGTATGTATTGGGCCTCTCAAGATAATCTTTTCTGCAGTAACATTTTTATCTGCTTCCCTAGCAAAGCATGTGTTGGCAGAGCTGAACCCTTAAGAGCTGACTAATCTGTCCAGATCTTGTGCCCCATATGACCCCATTTCAGTCCCTTTGGAGTAACTCTCACACATCAACTTCCAAATGCTTGGGGACTATGCTTACTTATTCTTTCCTCTACTCATTGTGTGGGGGCCCACCTATGAGATCTATGGTTTTATAAACAGCCTTGACACCAATACCCTCCACTGTCTGTCCCTATCCCCACTACAGGTTCATAGAGAATTGACTCTTACTGTCTCTTGCGTGCATTTAACAGGCTTCAGCACAACTCCACTTTCCCTCATGTGTCCCCTCCAGCACCCTGTCCCATATCAAGAAATGGAAATTTTGTTCTACATGTCAGATTATTTTGGCTGCTCCTCTCTACATCCCATATCCAACCTCTAAAGTGGATCCGTCTGGTTCTGCCTCTTAAGCACACTCAGAATTCAGCCACTTCTCTCTGCTCTAGAGCTGACACCCTTATCCCACCCACCATTTTTCATACTGCTTATTGCAGGGGCTATCTCCCCAGCCCCTGAGCCTGTTCCATTTGTCTTCAGCATAGGAAGCTAAGTGATTCTTCTTGAGGGTCAACTCCATCATACTGCCCTCTGTGCTGAGCCAAATGCCTCCTAATTTCTCTGAGTAGAAACCAAAAGCTTTATTCTGGTTTCTGAGGCCAACAGATCCTAGACATTCCCCCTTGCACGCCAACGGAATCTCCCATGCCAGCCTATCCCCTTCCCTTGCCCACTCGGTTGTAGCCACCTTTGCTTTTTTGCTGAGTCACATGTATGAGACGCACTTTCCTGTCGGGGAGAGTTCATTCTTGTTGCAGACCCCAGGGACTGCATGTTGACCTGCTGCTGTTCTGTTTAGTCACTTGATCAGAAAGGCCCTTCTCACCATGCTGTAAGTACAGAACCTCAGCCCCTCTGCAACTCTCCATCTCTCCTACCAGCTTTGCTCTAATTATAGCAAATCACACCTGAAATGCTGCATGGTTATTGTCTGTCTCTCCTTGGTGGGTAAGCTCCTTGAAGACTGCTATGTGCTGATTTCTGGAATAATGCCTGTTTATAGTAGGCATCTGGTAAATAGTTGTTGGATAGTTAAATTAATAAATGAGAATAAAATAAGGCAGGGCTGAGGAGGATTAGGACTGTTAAAAACCATATTTGACTTTTAATTTTGAAAACAAATTAAATACAGTTAAATTAAAACAGACCAGATGGTGCAGCAGCTTGCGCTCCACCCTCACTCCAGCCTCTGCCCTTGGAACTCCTAACCCCTGGCTTCACTCCTGTGTGGTGGGGTTTGCCAGTGAGAGAGCAGGGAACAACCTGGGTTTGGAGAACAAGTTATCATGGACTCAGTTCTGATTTATAGCAAACTCATTCCTAACAGAGATGAAGCCTGCAATCCACTGGGGTTATAATCATAAATAAATACACATGCAGCTAAGAGAGGATATTAGGCGAAAACAACTGAACTAGAATCTGCCAAAAAACCTTTCCAAATTTGTTTTACCTTTTTCAATTTCCTAAAAATGAGCACTGGGTTTTTGGCTAAGATGGCTGCCTCAGAGCAGCCAATTTGACCTTGGTATTCCGGGTTAGTTTCTATGCATGAGCAGTAGACTGCCCAGATGCAAATTCACTCATCTGATAGATGTCTCATGCCCACCTCCTCCCTCTCCCATGCCACCCCCATTTAATATAAGGGGTCAATTTCCAAAGCAACATCCAAAGTATAAAAGGTTGGGGAAAATGTCCTGCAAGGAGGCACTGGGATCTGATGCCATCAGATGGTTTCATGAGGGCTGTAGGAGGTTAAATCCATTTCAAAATAGGCAGCCAGTGCTATTCTCTGAATGTTAGGTATGTGAACTGAGTCCCATCCACCCAAGAGTGGGTTCTGAATGACTCTTAGATCTGTCCTGTGAGTTTTATGCAGTGGGGAGCTGTTAGCAGTTAAAAAATAAACACCTCTTCAGTGGGCTTGGGCTCTTTCCTTTTCCCCACATGGGGGAAAATTGTGCTTCCAACTTGTAGGAGCAGGAGTGAGATCACCACCAGAGGGACCCATCTAGCCAGAGTCAGAGGCCCCTCAGATACCTGGACACCTAGGCAGATGCTTTTACTGGGTGGAGGGCAGCAGTGTGGGCACACTGTTCTCTCCGGAGTGGAGAGGGGGCAGTGGACAGAGGCAGGCTGACTCTATGTGCCCCCAGTGTAGGGAAAGTGAAACTTTCCCATTTTGTGTAAAACAGAACGATTTCCAAAGCACTATGTGCTCAGATCTCCTTTCCTTTCAGTGTTCAAACATTTCCTGCCCCTTGTCCCTGACTCCCCTGCTAACCCAATCCTCACTGGAATTGCACAGGAAGGGGCTGTGGCTGCTGGATCTCACACTTTCCCAGGAAGAGCTCTGTTTGGTCACTACTGCTAGCTCCGGCCCTGAGGTCTGCAGTTCTCAGGGCCTCCAGGGAGAGGTGTCTCGCCTCCCTGGTCCAAGCCAGGCCAGGGGCACTGCAGCCCACAGGTACTGGAGAGGCAGTGTGTGGACAGTGGGGTCACATGGTTCTTGGTTCAGGTCAGTCAGTGACCTGTGCTGGCTCTAGGCCCACCTCCTTGCCAATGCTGGCAGGGGAGGTTTGAGGGACATGGGCAAGAGGAAGGGGCTCTGTTCTCGCACAGCCTGAGGTACAGGGGGAGCAGGTAGACAGACTTAGGCTCCCCCCATGCAGGGCTGGGTGTCAGGTGGGATCCAAGACAGCCTTATGCCCTGTAAACATGAACCAGAGGAGAGCCAGAGGTATTTCTGATTTGGGAGTAGCTCTGAGGAAGAGCAGGTGCCGAGGAGGGGCATTGGGGCACCTTGATGCCCCAGGCTGCTCTCTGGTCTTCAGAATGTCTTGGCTGGGCATGCTGTGAAGTCATGCTGGGCCCAAGAGCAGGGAGCCAGGGACAGCTATGCTGCACTTGACAGTGGAGTCATTGGACCTCCCTCAGCCCCAGCATCACTCCAAGGCAGGCACGGGTGCCCATGCACCTGTTCGTACAACACCATCAGTGCAGGAAGCTTCCATGGAGGTGTGCTGAGCACAGGCTTTGTTGGTGGCTGGAATCCCCAGCCCTCAGGTCTCTTAGGCCCCTGGCCATGTTGATGGAGAGAACAACAGGTCTGGGATTTCTGTGCTTAAATTCTCTGTCCTTTATCTTGGCATCAAGCTGGGCTCTCTTGGAAGCCCCCAGAATAGAAACAGGTGATGGTGTTCCTCAGGAGTCTGCCTCAGAGTGACCATCAGTCATGGGAGAGGATGGAAGGCCAAGAACAGGGTTTGAGAAGGAGGTTCCTGTGTGAGGAGAGTAGGAACAACACAGGGGTCAGCTTGGGGCAAGGTAGAGCTTGAATGATTAATGGGACATAATGCTCAATCCTGAGCCCTTAGTGGACCCCCAGAGTACTGCAGAGCCTACCTCTGGGTCCTCCTTGGAGACTCTTTTGAGAAACAGGTAGGAAGTGACCTAGTGAGGGCAGGAGATGGAAGAGGCTCTGTACTGACTTATTCTAAGTGGCACTGGCCAAAGTAACTTCAAGTTCAAGGGACTAAACAGGGAGAGTGACACCTTGTAGTTCCCCCCTCCCCACCCCAGACTTGTGCCTGCATTTGTCCTGGAGCCAGAATAAGGCTGTCTGTCTAGTCTGAGCTTCTACCCCTGGCAGGATCCAAAGTAGGAAGTCCTGAAGGGGCAAGATAAGATCACAGAAAATCCCTCAAAATTCTTGGCTTGGTCAGTCACTTGGCATAAATCTCTTGGGCCAATGTGTCACCGTGAGCAAGTCACTTTGCTTTTCTGAACATAACTGTATTTGTTACCTCTGAAGTGTACATAGATCCAGTGGCCTACCTCCATAGAAGGATTTAAAAAAATCAACAAAGCCAGGTGTGATGGCTCATGCCTTTAATCCCAGCACTTGGGAGGCAGAAGCAGGTAGATCTCTGTGAGTTTAAGGCCAGCCTGGTCTACATAGTGAGTTCCAGGACAGCTGGGGCTACAGAGAGATCCTGTCTCAAAAAGATGCCAAAAACAACCCTCAACAAAAATAGGAACACTTGTATAAGATTTGTTGTGTGCCACAGACTCATCTCAGTGCCCTTGGTGGCCACATAAGAAGAAACAGGCACAGAGGAGTGACTCTAAGCCAAATAGAAAAGTAGTAGCCTGGACTGGTGTGGGATCCAAGGCCCATGCTTTGCAGGCTTTTTCACAAGCTACTGAAAGCCACAGGGCCACTGATGTGGAACAGTGAGTGGTCCTCACCACAGCCCTGTGTCTGAAGAGGACTCGACAGAACAGGGTGAGCAAGTCTGCACTGCGCTACCTCTGTGAGTTTAAGGCCAGCCTGGTCTACATAGTGAGTTCCAGGACAGCTGGGGCTACAGAGAGATCCTGTCTCAAAAAGATGCCAAAAACAACCCTCAACAAAAATAGGAACACTTGTATAAGATTTGTTGTGTGCCACAGACTCATCTCAGTGCCCTTGGTGGCCACATAAGAAGAAACAGGCACAGAGGAGTGACTCTAAGCCAAATAGAAAAGTAGTAGCCTGGACTGGTGTGGGATCCAAGGCCCATGCTTTGCAGGCTTTTTCACAAGCTACTGAAAGCCACAGGGCCACTGATGTGGAACAGTGAGTGGTCCTCACCACAGCCCTGTGTCTGAAGAGGACTCGACAGAACAGGGTGAGCAAGTCTGCACTGCGCTACCTCACTGTGGTCTAGGCACCATGGCCAGTGTTACAAAAATGAAGGAAGGTGATGTCAGCAGCAAGACCCAGCTGTGTACTTTGCCTGTTGTCGGGGCACATTAGGAAAGGGGCTTTGCCCTACCTCTCCTGCCCACTTTGGCCTTGTCTTCCCATAGTTAAAGAGCAAGAGGCAAAGCCCCCAGAGATGGAAGATGTGTCCAAACCTGATGCTCCTTGCCCGTTCACCTGTCACCCTGGTTTTCCTTCCTACCTGCATCCTGAGGCTCAGATCTCCACTGAGGGGTCGGTGAAGCCTTTCTTCCCCTCATTCACCAGCACTGGCTTCTCTGTCCGTGTGTGCCATACCAGGATCTATGTGTTCAGAGACACAAACAAAATGGGGCAGGTTCCCAGCTCACTCCACCACTTCCTACTCCCTCCCACACCCTGCAAGTATTTCTTCTGCCCACTCCCTTTCTACTCTTGCTCCATCCAGAGTATCTCAGTTGCTCTTTATTCTATCTACCCCCTCAGTCTTGCTGTTTGTACATGTGATACATTGAAAATATTTGTTGAAAACAAGAAGTTAAGAGCTACAGAAAATAGACAAGTCTTGAGATTTCCCAAATGTGCATGTGTGTATTTATATGTGCATGCATACATGTGAAGACATCTATATGCATGCCTATGTGCACATGTGACATGCACTGGTTATATGTGCACATGTGCATGTATGCACATGGCATGGTGTATGTTTGTGTGCACTCACTGGGAGTCCTGGAGCATAGCTCTTCTTACGGATGGGCAGCAATCCTTGGAATTCCATAATGGAAACCCCTCTCCATTTCCTTACCTCCTATCAGTATGGTTCCTTTCCTAGGTGGGGATTGCAGACAAGCAAGGCTATCTTGAGGCCTCTCTTTCCTTCCCCCTGGTCTGCAGAGGGTCTTATGATGCTTGGGAATGCTTGCATTACTAGCAATCAGTTCTGAAGAGTGTCTTACCTTAGTGCAGTTGGCTGCCTTGGGTTCCAAGTCATTGAGGGTAACAAGTTCTCGGAGGAGGCTGCTTTCCTGGTAGCCTCCCTTTACACCACGTAGCTTGAAGTAGGCCTGGCTTCGCTGCAAGATGAGCCGCAGATTGACAGCAAATCCAGCCATGTCTATTGCAAAAGGTCGGTGGGGGTCGAATACTGTCTTCCAGCCAACCACCTTCCCTGCCCCATTCACCCGTGGGGCCTCATAACGAAGGCCACCAACGAAGGCCACAGGCCACACGGACACCCTCCGGGTGCTGCGCATCTACAAGATGAGAATCTGAGTCAGTACATTTGGGTCTAGGATGGGAATACTGCCCGTTCCTACAGATCGGGGAATCAGCTAAGGAGTGTGTGAAGTTATGGATGAAGGTTTATCCCAAGTCCTGCCTCTAGAACTTATGTTACTGATGGTCATCCCTAGAGGAATCATCCTCAGGCTGCAGGTGAGGCATCTCTCACCCGGCTGTTGGTCACCTTCTCAGTATGGTCCCAATGCTCTTTTCCCCCTTGTACAAAACCTCTCAATCTTCTCACTTTTTAATCTGAAATGAGCCTCCCTCCTCAAGACTTGCATGACTGATAAGCACAGGGAATCTCAAACTGTCCATCCAAGAGGTTTCTGATGGCCATACTAAATGACTCCACTCAAAGGCCTCATTCAGAGAACAAACCTCTTAGGTAAGGACTCAGGTTTAGGAGCTGCAAGCGCCCTTTAACTGGTGGGAGTGTTTTGAGGTGCCCAGAGATTTTCCCATTTCTTTCTGGTTCTCTACAGTGTGGTCTGCCCAGGCCCCTCCTTCCTCCTGCATCCATCAGTGTCCTCCAAGCCCGCCCGCGACTCTTGCTCCTTTGGTCCCTCACACACCTCTTCAAAGAGCTCCAGGCTGTAGGTGTTGTCATCATCCGCGAAGTACACTACACCTGGCTGGGTGGAGTTACGTGGGAAGGTCTCCCGCAGCCAGCGCAGGGCCAGGTTGCGCTGCATGGTGCCACGCGGGATGCGCGGGTCTCGGGCATCACCTCGCAGCTTGTAGTTGCGGGGTGTCTCGACGTGCAGATGTGTGTAGTTGAGGCCGGTGTCACGCAGCAGGCGCGCAGTCAGGGGCGTCCTGCGCGGTGCGTCCTCCACCACCAGCCAGTGCAGGTTGGGCACATGCAGCAGTGTGTTGGCCATGCGTGTCAGCTCTGCCTTCTGCACAGGTCGGCTGTAGGTGGGCGTCACCACGTGGATGGTGGGCAGTGTGTCGGACCAAGGCGGCGGCCGCGTGTATACGTACTCTGTGCGCACCACCTCCACGATGTCACGGTCGGACATGCAATACTCCCTAGGGTCTGCGCCGGGTGGCGCCTCACGCCGGGGATCACTGCCCTCATCTGCAGGGGTGGGAGAAGGCGGTGCGGGGACGAGGGCGCTGGCCTGGCTCTGATACAAGGCTCAAGGCCACCCACCCTTCCAAGGCAGCCCTGTCCTCTGCCTCTTTGCAGGACGGACATCAGAGCCTGCCTTTTCAGTTCCATCTTTAGACCTGAGGCTGCAATATGTGGTCCTGGAACTCTCATGGGGATTTTCCTGGTTCTGATTTCCAGGATGACTCAGAAATAACCTCTTCCTCCTCACATTTGACAGCCCTGTAACTCTCTGAGCTCAGCTGGCCACCTTCTAAGATTCTATCTTCAGTTCCTAAATGTATCAGATTTTAAATGACAGTGTCCTGACCCTCACTTCCCCATCTCCTCCTCATCTGGCAAATCTGACCAGTTGCAGAGGCATAGCCTTGTTCTGCGGTGTGAATGCCACAGAGCTGGAGAACAGTCATAGTGTATAGCTGCAGCACACTTTGGATCTTAAAGTAAATTAAGATGAACTCACCACAGGTTTCCCACAGACTCTCTAATCAAGTGGTGCCTCTCCCTCCTGGACTATGTAATCAGTTCTTTGACCCTTGGTACACAACTCAATATTTACTGCATTTGATCCCAGTAGGTTTTGCCCATATTTGTCAATATAGTTTTGAATCTTGAATGTCATTTCTCAGTTTAGGTATTTCTCCTATTTTGGTATATGATTGTTTAAGTTCTTCCACTGGTCTGATGTCAATCTCCCAATTGGTACTTTCTAAACATATTCATTTGGCCCTCTGAACCATGAACAGACCTCCTGTCCTAGTGTTCAGGGAATGTTTCCCATCTCCACTCCAAGAATGCCATGAAGTGTAATGATACCTGCAAAAGCCTGTACTCTGGCCACATGCTCACAGGCATGGGAGAGCCCTGACTTCCTGAATCTGTGAAAGTGACCTCTCCCAACTGGGGGCATCACTAGGGACCAAGGTTTTCTTACATCCTGAACTTTTTCCTATTTGGGGAACCTAGCAAGCTTAGGAAGAACAACCAGGGCCATTGGCATTCTTGTTTCATTGAGTCTCTGCTCTTCAAGTTGTTTTGGGGTTTGAAGTGTTCACAAGTCAACTACAGTGTGGTGCCCACTGCTCATGATAGCTGAGGAGGGGGGTAGCAAGGGCCAGACGGAAGATCAAGAAACCTGAAAGCCTAGGCTCAGACCATCCCTCTGCTGCAACTAACTGCATGGCCTAGAACCAGTTATTTAGTTTTTAGTGCCTTGATTTCCGTGATTGTAAATGGGGCTAATAATGGCATCTGCTTTATAGAGTTACTGTATAGACTGATGAGTCATTACATGTAGAGGGCCCAGAGCACTACCAAGCTCAAGTTCAATTATTATCATCTCCTGTGTAGGACACTAGTGGGCCTTGTGGCTCCACATACTTATAGTAAGGTAGAAATGAAGCCACATGAAACAGCTGGAATGAGGGCACAGAAGGGACGCTGGGCTGTGGCCCTTCTGTTCTACCATTAGCATTAGCAGCAGGTGGGCTTGTTAGGTGCAGGGAGTCTAATGCAGAGGAACCCAGATGACCCACTCTTGCCTCCTATGGAGTGCTCACAGCAGTGGCCTGGAGCCAGTTCACTCAGGCCATAGACAGAATGTTCAATATGGGGGGAGCAGGGAGACTGCAGAGATGCAGCTCATCAAAGGGAGTTTCTGGAGAGTTTTGGGTCAAGTTCTAAAGAAAACGATGCTGAACAAAAGAGAGATAGTATCCATAATTCTGACCAGGATATAAGAATTTCTTTATCCTGTAGTCAGTAATGTTTTAGAAACTGAGCTTGGGGATGGAGATTTAGAGCTTTTTGTATAGCCCTCTGCTATCCAGAGCATCCTAAACAGGTGGAGGCCTATGTCCTGGAGAAGTTCTCCATGTATTAAGGCTTGACTGCTGCCTGCACCCCATCTTTTCCCCTGGCTTCAGGGCTTCTGCAATTCTTGAGTCCTAAAAGTCTCCTGGTGTGATGTCTCCGACCCTCGCTCTGCCAAGAAGACAACAGACATTATGTCATTTTATAGATGGGAGTTTTAACCCCTCTGGAATGATGCATTCACAGGGCAACAGTGATTCCAAACTGACAAGCACCAATGAGAGATGTTGGGGTCAGGAGCAGATGACGACATCATGCAGAGGCTCTGAGTGCCCAGCAAGGGCAGTGGGAGTGCAGTAAGAAGACTCAGAAACTGCAAAGAGGTTGTGGGACCAACAGTCCACACGAGGCAGGACAGCATGGGCTGTGATTCATGCATACCACTGTACCCAAATCATGTGAGGCCACTGACTGCAGTGGAGTCCCAGGCCCTACCACTGAGCCACCATCTGTCATTGGGAAGGGATGGGATGCCTTCCTTTTCCATATTACCAGAAACGATGGTGCACAATATAATGGGCAAACTATTGCCTGCCTGAGAGCGTTGCATTTAGGTGGGAGAGGGATAGAAGATAGTTTTAATGAGACTGAAGGCTAGGGAATGAGGGGTAGACTAGAGGAGGGGGGCATGAAGGTTTGGGGCATAGAATTAGGTGCGAGAGAAAAAGGTGACACAGGACTCAGAGCTAGAAGGTTCATCTAAGCCCGTCTTTGCCTCTTGTTCTTTTTCCATCCCTTTGGCCACTTAGTATCCTAAATGGGACAAAGGGAGCAAAGGACACACTCCTGAAAAGGTTTTGCAGCACTTGGGCTGGGGTATAGCTCTAGAAGTACAGTGCTTACCTGTCATGAAGTAGGCCCTGAGTTGACCCACAACAACTCAAAAATAAAGCCAAAACCAAAACCTCAAATACCCTAACATGACAATATAGGCTAGAAGTCCTGTTCCTTTTTCCATCCCTGTTGAATAGCCCATTCTCAAGCATTATGGAACTGAATGGGCATGTATGTTTGTGTTGGTGTGTGCACTCATCCTATTGGTTTGCATTTTTTTTTCTATATTTGATAATATTTTGACATCTCAAGGCCTTGTGGACTGGAGAAGGGGTAGTCTTTCCAGGGGATACCATAGAGACAGTAAACAACTGGCAATATTCCCACTTCTTTGTCAGAGTCCTCATGAGTTAATCTGGTCTAGATCATCCCAGGGCCAAATGCAAGACAAATAAAACCACCCCCAAATCCTAGAGCCCACAGAAATTATTCAAACTAGCCTCTTCTGAGCCTGACACAGTGGTGTATACTTGAAATCTCAACACTTGAAAAGCTGAGGCAGAAGGACTGCCATGAGTTTAAAGCTAGCCTGGGCAACATAGTGAAAACTAGGCCAGCCAGAGCTATATAGTAAGACCCTGTCTCCAAAAAAGAAAACCAAACAAAATCAAACCATCCACTTCTAGTTCTGGTGAGCTGCTTACATGGCTTTCCCCTATAACCACATTACAGGCTTCTGGTCTACCTTGCCTCACCCTTTCTGTCTCCTGATCAAGAACCTCTCTCCTTCCCCATGTTACCCTGTATAGCATGGCATGGTCTCTCTTCTTGGGAGCTGAGAGTAACAAGCTCATCTTTCAAGACAGTTAGTTATCTTGTGTCATGTTATACTGGATTATAACAAATCCCAGGTACTTAAAACAGTGTATGTGATGGGGAGCAGGAAGGGGTGGCTTTCAATGGATTCCCAGAGGGGCCAAGACTCCTCCAAGGTAAGATCAGGGCCCATGTGATATAAGAATGGTAGTGGGGTAGCTCTTATTACCAAAGCCGGACCAGGGTGGGGCTGGGGTGGGGCTCACCCTTGTGCACAGCAAGCAATGGTGCAAGGCTGCTCTGGTGCCAGACGGTGATGAGCAGTGTCCAGGGCAACACGATGAGGACAATGGCAAGGATGTCCCGTCTCTTCGGCATCTCCAAGGCTGGCTGCACCCACAGCTCCTCATTACCTGAGCGGTGGCAAGGTCAGGGGAGGGTGGCCACGGAGCGCCGGCAGCACAGGGAAGAAAAGAATAGGCATGGGCCGGCCGGCCAGGCACAGGGAGACAGAAGCCGAACACTGGCCAGCAGGTCTCACCAGCGCTCACACCCACCCATTGTGGAAGCAGGTTTGTAGAGTCCAGCCTGATGGGAGTCTGTGGAGGGGCAGTCGTCCAGGGCAGGGTCAGGAACCTTCAGAGATGGACACCTGTAAGAAAGAGCAGCAGTGGATGGACAGAGACCTATGTATGGAACATAGAGGTTGGCCTACTCCAGACCCACAGCGTCCCGAGTTTCTCAATGGTGTATACATCTCTCCAGGGCCTCTTTTGTGTGGGTGCCTGGGTGAATGGGCCTGTGTCCTCCCCTTGGCAAGCAGACATTTGCAAGAGCATTAGAATAGAGATTTAAAGGAACAGTCTTCAGAGATATCTGCCTTGGTTTAATCCTAACTGCGCTATGCAGAAGCTGTGGCCTTTGGCCAGTTCCATCAACTATGTACTAGTTTCTCATCTATCAGTCAGGCACCTTCTTTCCAAGGCTGTTCTCAAAATTAAATGAGTTAATGCTCAGAAAACCCTTAGGCTGGACCCTGATGGAAGTACGCTAGAAACGCTGGCCAGCATGCTGCCCAAGCATAGGTGGTTTCTTCATTTCCTGGGCTCAGGTTCAGTGCTGGGCAGTCTCCTTCAAGGATAAGCAAAGGTGTTTAGGGTTGGGCACTAAGGTAGTATCCTAAGCATCCTCCTCTGTCCATGTCTGTAGGGGATTCTCATAGAGTACCTGCTCTCTACAAGTACGAGACTGGGTATCAGCAGGGAGAGGAGTTACTACCTGTGGAGTTGCTGGTCGTAGGGAGACACTTTGCACAAATGGTAGCAGCAAGAGCCCCAGGAAGGCACCCAGCTGTGAGAATGAGCCCAGCTGGAATTCACTCTTTTTTTCTGCAGAGGATCTGCTGGTGGCTACTTCTCTGGGGACTGTTTCCTTTTGTGAAACTAGCTCATGGCTACCTTGGAAACCATCACATCCCCTTCCTTGTTGCTTCCTTCCCTCACCTCTGTGTAGATGCTGTTGGGCTCATGGCTAGTGGAGGCACTAGGCACTCAGTATATTCACCATGCCAAAGCCCATCACGACATGGCTTCCTCAGAGGCCACACTACCTGCTCCAGTACCAGCCCACATATGCTCTCTCTGTCTCTGCCAGGGTCGAGAGCTTGGCCAAGCAGGAGGTATTGTGCTCAATTTTGGAAATATTGTGTAGTTTTCTCTTTCTCAGATTTCCTCTATTAGTCCTGATGCCTTCTAGAAGATCAAGTTTTGCTTTCCACTTAAGAGCACTATCCTGGGACGGCCAGCATCCCCTGTCCAGTCCCTCTCATGAAAGGCTCACTGCCTCCAGAATCAGCTTGGGGACAGATAGTGTCAGCTACACCTCATTCCTTAGGGAATGGGACTCTGGGGTTAAATGCTACAGGAAGAGAACAATGGTCAGGCACCTAGGAGGAATCAAATGCTGAACTGCATGCAGCATCCTTTACCTTCTCTTGGATATGGTCTGTCCCCACTGAAACTCAGGTTAAAATTTGTCTTGTGGCAGTATTGGGAAACAGGACCTGTAAGAGCTGATTACATCATTAGGAGGGATTAATGCCTTTCTCACTCATTTGAGAGCAGATTCTTATAAGCAAGGCCACCCCTCATGCTTTTTATCTTCTGTGGCTGTCCACTTGCCCTTCTGTACATAGTCCTTGCCAGACTATGCTCTTGGACTTCTGCTTCCAGAAGTGTGAAGGATATTAACTTCTTGTCTTTATAAATTACCTGGTGTCAGGTATTCTCTTACAGAAACAGAAAACAGACCAACACAGAGGCCAGACCAGGCTGGGGCTTCAAAAATATCTTGTTCTCAAATGTGCCATTCACCCTCAGCCTGCATGGGATGCTTTCCTGTTTTCACAGCTGCTTGGACCTGTGGCTCACTCAGCCTCACTTCTATCTGCCTAGGCCTTTGGTAATGATAACCAGCTTTCCTTCAGCAGTCATGGAGTCCTAAGATAAAGATGTTGACAGTTCTTACACATCTACTCCATGTTGTACTCACAGCAACCCTGAGATGCAGGTGCTGTTTCGTCTCTGTTTATAACTGGATTTTCTAAGGCTAGATGGGTAAATAATTTGCCCCTGGTCAGATACAAGAAAAGGTGGAGCCAGATTTATATTAAGGCCATGTGACTCTATGCTGTTATAGGGATAAATACTGGTTTAAGAGCCACCTTCCTCCACCACAACTGTCTACTGTGAGTCTCCATGTCTGCTGGATATTGGGACAGGAAGAAGGGGTGGGAATGGACAAAGGGAAGGATATGGGCATGATGCAATGGGGCCATTAGGAGTGTCTGATCCCATCCTATTTTTTTGTGTGTCAAAAAAATCTATGAGAGGAACGGAGGGACTGCAGAGAGACAAACTCTAAAAATAAACAGCAATAAACCCAGTTGTGTATTAATTATTCTGGAAGCCATTATGGCTTGAAAAACCCCATAACTTTAATGGAGGCTATTATAAGCATAGTGGCAAAATCATGGAGCTAATTACCAGGCGGTTATTAAGTAGAACACAGAGCACCCCTAGGCTTGGAGAATGCCATCTGGCCAGTGGGGGGGGGTGGTCCCTGGGCAATGGTGCCTGGGTGTGGGCAGGAGTCTGGGGGTGTGAGAGTGGGATGGAGGGGCTGCCCTTATGCTAGAGTCTGAGAGCAAGGTGGGCTGCCCCATGAAGTCTAGGGCTTCTGCCTGGGTTTGGAGGAAGGTAGTGTCTGCCTGTGGTTGCATGTAGCATCCAGCATGGACCTCAGGAAGGTTTCTGGAGCTTTGGTTTGAACAGGCAGAAGAATGGACACAAAGGTGTAAGAAAAGTGGGGAGGCAAAGATGGAGAGAACAGGGTGTTTGGGAAAGAAGTAGGCATAAAAGGGCTTTATGGTAAGATTGGATATTCTACATAGATGAGTGTGGGGGCTGAGGGTTTGCTGTGTTTATGACTTCTGACCCGATCACTCATACATACACACACCCTTGACTGACCCTAATGATGACTGGTCTCTCTTCCCAGCAAGTGCAGACATGAGGATCCTCCCCCTCCTTTGGTGTTCTTTAAGCAGCCCATGAATAGAGACAAAGGCTACATTAAGGGTGCAGTGGATAAGGCCTAGTGGAGGACAGTCATTGGATGAGGAGGAAGAGCTAGGGCAGTGGCAGTCAGGGCCATGTCCTGGTCCCCCAAGGGTCACAATGCTCACCTCATCTTTAAAACTTGGAAGATGGCTGGAATAATTCTAATGAGTTTTCAGTTCTACTATTTTAACAACCTGAAGCTATGGAAACTGGTCTGTATGAGGATGAAGAAATGTCCTATATGAGGCAAATAGGATCCAGATGTGTTTCTAGTCCAGTGTTAGGACCAGAGGGCCACTGTGACAACTCCCCGTGGAACTGAGCCATGCTAAAAGCCTGTAAGCCCATGGAGATTGGTATCACTGGGAAGACCTAACCACAGTAATTCATCTGTAGGCTTCAGGGTGCTGTGGTCTGCAGATGAGAACGATAGTATATCTGAGCCTCAGATAGAAAAGCTCTCATCCAAGTCTGGAAGAGCAAGTCAGGCTGGACAGATCAGGTGCAGCTGGCCTGAGAGGGCCAGGGTGGTGTGTGAGATAGGCTCAAGGCAGCCCAATTCAACAGTTTCTTCTGAGCCCATGGTGTTTGAACAATGTCACCTTGTCCATGAAGATGGGCTTATTGAGCTCTACTGAAAAATATTAATCGTTCTTCAAGCCTTTAGACCCAGTAAAGCTGTAACATCAGTTAGCTGCCCAATCAGAAAGAAGATGAAGGCTAGGGTCTTCCAGAATGATACATGCATACCATATGCATTTCAGCAAAATGGCTTTTGAAGAGCCAATTGTTCCATAGCTGATATTTTCTCAGGATTGTGAACACATGACCATTTTTTCAAAATCCAAACCACCATTGCTGATGGGCTTTCCTAATGTCCACTTAACAGCTGCAGGCCTGGGGCTACTCTGGGACAGGTGGCAGTTGGTGGGACTTTGAACTTCCAGTGTGGCCTCATCATGGGAAGGCCTTTGATACTGCTCAGTGGTTGCATTTTGAATCACTTTGATTCAGTGACTGGACACTCGGTGAAGGATCTGAACATAACACCTGGTAGAATGCTTATGACTGATTTTTATCAATCTTCACCCAATTTAGGGAATGTTTTTTTTTTCCTGATTTACCTTATGGAGCCTTTTGAGAACATTCTTCTTAGTTTTTATAGAAACAATACACTATTTCCATGGTTTATAACAGCCCATGTAATAGCCAGCATTACCATCATAAGCAGGTGGGGAACATGCTTCTGACAACCCATAAGTGCTGAGCATGTGCTGAGCCTGTGTGAACAGAGGGCCTGCCCTGGCAAGCCATGGGCATTGGCTGCAGTCAGTGTGCTTTGCTGAATGGGGACATCAGGCATTTTGATGAGTTGATTGAGGGATGGCTGGTTAAGAAAGCTTCTGTGGGTAGGGGATGTGGCTCTCAGTAATAGAGTGCTTGCCTGGCATGCATAAGGCCCTGGGCTCCATCTCTAGCACTGTAAATAAAAAACAAAAACAAAAACAAAATAAAACAAATGCCTTTTGTTTATGTACAGAACATGAACATCACCACAGAGCCCGATCTCTGGGAGCTGATGGAGGTGGACAAAACCTCCTTCTCCTACAGGACCACAATCAGCTTCTCAGGAGAACCTGGGGAACCCAGTGGCTGGGGAGGCCCTTGTTCCTCTAGGCATGGGAGGGGAGGCCCAGAAGGATAAGGGGGAACTGTAAAAATAAAGGGAGTGGAGTGCTGGCCATGACCTCAGCATCTTTTTCCACCCTAGGTAGGGCCATTCCACAGAAAGGGGAGCACAGACTTTGTCCCAGAGATCTACAGGAGCCCCTAATGGGATCAAGGGATTAGTATTGATTCTGAAGCACTGCTCAGGAAAAGCCCAATACCAGAGCTAATCAGCTTGCTGCCCAGTCAATCCATACTTCATTAACCCAGCCCTAGCCCTCCAGCCCATAGCACTGCTGCCCTGGGCCCACTCCTCGGGGGCAGGACGCAGGCATCAATCTGTCCAAGTATACCAACCCTCGGA